CATTTTTTTAATTATTATTATTACAACTATATTATGTTAAAACCACACTAAAATATACCTATATAACTTCAAATTACCAAAGTTATCCTTCAAGTCAAAATGCTAATGTTTTGCTTAATGAAAATAAAAAATATTTGAGAATAAGTTGTGGAGATTCCATCCACCAAAAACAATTCCGCTCTTCATATAAAGTCGAAATAAAATTATTATAATGAGATTATTTTTGTTGACTGTTGCCTTAATTTAAAAGATATGTTCAATGATATATAAAATAACCATATATATTTTAACATATTACAACTTTTTATTGTAAATTCACAATATCTTTAAAATAATATTGAAGGGCCGCCTTTTCACTCTTCCCCCATCTTTATCGCAAAAAAAATCATCCGAGTGGCTGTGGAGCGTGGAGTCCTGAACGCCGGTCATTTCTTTAAATCTCCTTTTGCGTTCTTTCCATAGCACTCCACATTGTTTGTGTGAGCGCCCCGTCCTGAATCCACAAAGTTCCGTGATGGTTCGTGACTTCGTGAAGATAACGGGGATAGACGGGCTCCATCGTATGCAGCATCCATCGCTGATATGATGGAACCGACTTATGTTTCAATCATACCTGGAAGGAGGGTAGCCGCACTTCGATCAAATATATAAAAGTCATTATGCATAGCAAATGTAACAATAGTAGGCAATTCTCACATACATCATGATCATGATGAGCCTCTTGCGTGGAAGGACAAGATCCCCCCAAAGACCCCACTCTGAGTGACGAGATGGCCTCAATTACGAAGTACTGTACTTACCATGCGGGATTCGTCTATTGTACCACAATTCCGGGGCCTCCAATTTTGCATGGTATGAATTCAATTTACGAGAGCATATGCCTAATAAACATTGAGTACCACGTCTGATTTCCAACGTTTCAAATTCAGGTGTAAATCACGTATGGGATTGGGTGGTGGCACTAGGGACCGTAGGCAATCCATTCATTTAGAGGAATTGCATGGGAGGATTAAACCATCTTAAGTGTGTTGAAGATTGGCGGCTTCCATTGTGTTGGAATGAGTGGTGATTATTTTTTCTTCCTTCTTTTTTCTTTCTCGCTCTTCTCTTTTTCATCCCCATACAACAGTCGTAAATAGTATACAAAATGCGTAAAGACATTTGCGTACGGAGCGTTTAAAAAATCGAATGGAGGTTAAACAAATCACGCAACCTCAAAATTTTCTTTGTGTCACCCCTCTAAATTCAAAGAGTGCCCTTGGTTGCATTATAATCAATCGAAGTCAGTACAAAGAGTGTAATATTGATCAGAGCCTGTATTGACTAATAAGAAACCGAATTATGAAAAAATAAATATAATTTGTTTCTTAGATTTGCTCAAGGTATCCTCTCAAAATTTTACTTTGTCTCGGAGTATATAATCAATATATGCATCATTTTGTACGGAAAAAGGCTGTTTTTAATTCATTAACTCTCACCCTCCCTTATTAAAGCGGACATGATTAGTTACCAAAATATTAAAGCTGGTTAATTCAGCTTTCATTTGATATGGTGTGTTCTAAAAAATCGCTATACTTTAAGAGGATATAAGCACTACGTACTCTCCCCCAAAAATTGATCTTTTGATATGAGAATATACGGATTACTCATTGGTAACGCTGTAGTGTTACCTGGTAACAAGAAAAAAAGAGGGAGAGGAAGTGAGGCAAAAGACTCTCTCCCTTTTTTTGGGGATTGCCCGAAAGAGGAAAAGTATCTATTTTAGAGTTGATGGGGCCCGAAGGGATACCTGCTGATAAAATGGAGAGTAATATTTTCGTCAATTCCCAAATCGAATTGCGGCATGAAAAATTTAAATTCAAAAGAGGATTGATTTAAAAAATACTCAGGTTGTCCCTGGTGTGCGCATAAAGCAACAGCTTTCCCTTTGATCGCAGAAAAGGTCATTGAGGAGGAACCAATTATGGATCTGAACTCTTTTTCTATCCCTGCATAAAGAGACCAAAACTATGTCGGTGAGGGTTAACCCTTTATCCAATATTACCCAAAAATGTATCTAAAAGTTCTTCTTCGAATTTAACCCAAAATCTAGACATGAAGGAGAAGACTCTCAACAATAGTAATTCTTTATTTGGGGCTTTTATTTGGAACCATTTTAACGAAGAAGACAACAATATCTTTAACAAAATATGAGCGGCGGCCCAACGTAGAGTTCGGAAATTTAGTCCAGCGTATAGTTGTGAATTAGTATAATATATTTCATCAAAACGCAACCAAGCCATTCTTCTTTAGAAATTTGGGCATCCCACTTTTACTCGAGGAGTTAGCATTGGCTCATGGCTCTTTTTATTTGAATTCCACAACAAACTTCAAATTTAGTAGAGATGGAAGATTCAAATACCCTCTTCAAAGAATTGCTAAAAGTCTGTGGCATCTCAAGATGATGTCTCCTAATTTCAAAGAAGATGTCAATAACATAGTAAACTTTTACATGGAATTACTGGAGCTTCCCCGATGATTGGAGGAAAATATTAGGTGTCCGCGTCAGGGATTCACGATGGGAAAAAATTACAGCCCAATTACAAAATTCCTCTAATTGCATCATATTTAAAAATCATTGTTAGGACTATGGCAAATTATATGTCAACACGTTACATGCTTTTGCTGATTGTCTTGCGGTGTCAAATTTAAAGACCTTTCTTGTTCTTAATGTTAAGGGGATTGAACAACTGTCCAATAACATTTTGAAAGGTGTTTTATTGTTTGGTTGTCCAAGAGAAAAAACCCGATCAGATGCTTCTAAAGCGATTGCTTATACAATCAGTAATGCTAAGGCACTTATTGCAAAGAGTTGACCACAATGAGTACATCCGTTCCGAGGAACTCATAGCCATAATGCTCTCAGCGGCTGCGAGATATGGAACACTTTCGCTACGGATACCGTCAGTTCTGGAAAACTCTTGGAGTGTCACCGCAAAAGAAACGAAATATTTCCCATCAAAGTTGAAGAATCTTTTAAGATAAAAAATATTGATTTTTTATTCAACAGGCCATAAAAAAATATACAAGCACAAATAAGTAAAGGTATATAAAATGATGTATATAAAATATTAAAATTCTATTGTTTTTTTTTCTACAATATTTCTTTTAATGTTGTGCATTCCATGTTAAATTATTTATTGATTTTATATTTGTATAACTGTATTAATCTTTTTTGAATTTTGAATTTTAGACTACAATGTCTATTTTTGGATTTGATACACAATCACTTCATGAAATAAAGATTTGTAAAAAAAATAATGAGTGTAATAATGCCATTTATACTTGAATGATAAAGTATACAAAGTATAATAAGCAAAAAGTATGATTATAGTTTTATCCTTAAGTTGTATGTTCATACTGTTTTTATATGAAATTTAAATTTTTAAATGATTTTTAATGTGTTTTTACGTATTATATTTATTTTCATTTTACTTTTCAGTGTATTAAAACTGTGATTAAAACATCATGAAATAGTAACATACAATAATTGCTTCTCTCCTGAGATGGTGCATACTATGATAGTATGTTAAGCTAATATTTATTTAAAATATTAATATATGTTATTAAAAAATATATTGAATATTAAACATACATTTTAAAATTATATATACAGGGTGATTCACTAGAATTGAGACTCTCACTTTGGTAACTCCTACGTTTCCCCAAATTTAATATTCCCTCCATTTTTATTTTGTTGTTGTTGATAGACATATCAGCTACAACTTTCATAAAAATAAGTTGTGTGAGATAGCCCTGCTTCCAATAGAAAATTGCTTCTGAACAGGATAAATGTGACTTGATTTTGGCCTCATTTCGTAATGGAAAATCTACGGTTGAAATTATGAAGATTTTAAAGGCCACAGTGAGCGGAGCAACGGTCTACAGGACCATAAAAGCCTTTAAGGAGTTAGGCAAGGTTTCAAGGAAGGTTCAGGTCCGGAAAAAAATTTTGAGGACACTGCCTGGGAAGAAAAGGATCAGGGAGAAACTCAGGACAAATCCAACTTGATCCATGAGACAGATGCCTAAAGAGGAGTACATGAGCACCACTAGCATTTGGAGATTGATCAGGAAAGACCTGAGGATGCTCGCTTATAAGAAGAAGCCACCTCAGATTCTGTCCCAGGCCATAATGAACAAGCCTCTTATCCGTGGGAGAAAAATTATTCAACACTCTCCAAAGACAGGTCGCCATCAGTTCTCTGGACAGATGAGAAAATTTTCACGGTCCAGGCCACCCACAACAGTCAAAATGACCGGATTTTGACGTGGAAGAAGGAGGACATCCCCGTGGAGCTGAGGACAGCCTTCAGAAGGCAGAAGCCACCCTCCGTCATGGTCTGGGCGGGCGTGACGTCGGACGGGAAGAGGACCCCTTTGATCTTCGTCGAGGAGGGGGTGAAGGTCGACCAAGCAGTTTATTTTTACCTTCTTTCCGAGGAGGTAGTCCCATGGGTACAAAGAGAGTATCCAACGACACCTTTAGTGTTCCAGCAAGATGGGGATCCATCCACACCAGCAAATTGGATCAAAGCTTCTATGATGATATCTTTGCAGACTTTTGCCCCAAGTACTTGTGGCCACCATCCTCCCCAGATCTGAACCCCATGTACTATGGAATATAGTCCATTCTGGAGAGAAGGGTGTTAAGCAAGTCCTGACCATTAGTGGAGATTCTAAAAAAGAAACTGCTTCAGCCATGGTCCTCCTTATCTGAGGAAGAAATATCTGCCTTTGTTGCCTCCACCGTTAGGAGTTTCAAAGCTGTACTGAAGGCAAAGGAGGATACGTGGAAAATTCATAAAATATATATTGTTTATTACATATTATACTATTATTTTTATTTAAGCAATATTTATGAGAAATTTAATACAAAGATTATACATCGTAATACGTGTGTCTCAATTGTAGTGAATCACCCTGTATATATTGTAACTAACTCGATCCTTAAATAACAGGCGTCGGTGATATAATGGTCAGCAAAGCTGCCTTCCAAGCAGTTGATCTGGGTAAGAGTCCCGGCCGACGCAACTTTTTATTGGTTTATCCCTTACTGAACTTCTTAAAATTGAAATGTGGCTTAATAATATAATAATATTATTAAAGGGTCTCCAGCACAACCACTGCCCCTTGATCTACTCTGCTTTCTATCTGGGTTGAGGTTTTTATTTATATGTCAAAATGATAAATATCCACAATGCAACCTTTCATAACAATTATGAGATCCTATAACTTTATTATTTCTAAAGTTGTTATTGATTGTTGTTTTGGAATATATTATTATTGCTAGTTGTAGTAGTTGTTTCTATTTGGTTTGATTATATTTGTTAGTAAAGGAAATAGCATTATTTATTAATATTACTGAAGAAAATATTTTTAATGAGGTTGATCATTATTGGCTATTGAGGAGGAGTCAAACCTGATACCTCAACATTGAGAGTCGAACTGGCCTACGTATAAAAACAAAAAGGCACTTCTCTTTTAGGTCTATATTGATTGTATTCATGATTTTTTTTATTGATTTGAAACCATAAAAGATATATATTTATGTCAATTATTAAATACATTTTTTCCATATATTTAAATGTGTGTGCATTTTTATTTTGAATATGTAATATATCATAAGCACATAGCCAATGAGAAGCGGGGGAGTAATAGACTATCATAATACAATAGCTATTATAAATAAAATGTTTTTTTTTTTTTTTTTTTATTATGTAATATGTAAAAGCGCTTTGATTCCTTCAAAAAACTTATCAAATAGTCCTCATATTATAATATTATGTATTACTATTGTGCATCACCAGCAAGGTATCATTCAAAAATATCGATAAATATGACCCATGGACAAAAAGTTTATTGATATAGGAATATATTGATTTTTTATTTGGTTCACTAACCCACAAAAGGGTTTTTAGTCACTACCTCCATATATATATAGATAGATCGATATAGACATATATATACAGAGTGGTACAGCAAAAAATAGAAAATGACAAAGGCCAATTTGAAGGCTGAAACCGTTTTTTTAGAGCCATATTAATGGCAAATTCCTGAAACAAAATATGTTAAAGTTACAGTAAGTTACAACTTTTATTCATTGTGTCCTACTTTATTCTTGATGATAGCTTCAATACGTGGACAAACGGAGGCACTGCTGGTCTTGATGAAGTTCTCCGACATGTTGTCCCCTCCTTGGTGGTGGTGGCCTTCAGGGCCTCGACACTGGGTGTGATTTTTGTTGGTTTTGCCCTCCAGGAAGCCCCAGACAGCAAATTCCAGAGGGTTCACATCCGGCGATGAGGAGGGCCAGAAGTCCGCCGGCCAGAAGGAGGCCATGTCCCCTTGCAGAACTCCTGAACCTTCTTGGACGTATGAGCCGGGACTCCGTCCTGGGTGAGCACATAATTGTTCCTGGGGAATGTGCTCTTTAGCCATGGCAAGACCTTGTACCTAAGGACCTTGTAGTAGACATCAGAGTTAACCTAATTCTTGTGCCTGAAGAAGTGTGGGGATATCTTGTTGCCGTCGGAGGCCACTATGCCCAGGACCATGACTTGGGCTAGATATTTGGTCCTGTAATACCCTCCACCTAATCTCTTGTTTCTGCCAAGAATCGATCATTTCTTCTGTTCAGCACTGCATCCACTGTGAAGATCTTCTTGTCGGAGTAGATCTTGACCGTGTCACCGTTGTGCTTGAAGAAGTTGCGGACTTTTTTGGCTCTCTCTAACCTTCTGGCCTTCATGGTGGCCGTCAACAGATGCCTTGGTTTCCTGACAAAGCTCTTGAGGCCCAAGTCCTCGTGGACGGCCTGTTGACGGTGATGGGAGCAATGTTTCTCTCGGCGGCCATCTTCCTCATGGACTTGGCGGGGTCCTTCTTGATGTCCTCTTGCAGGAGGTCCAGGAACTCACCACTTCGTTTTTGTTGTGTCCCCCAGTCCCAGGCTTCCTGGAGATCGGATCCATGCCCTCCATGGCCTTCCTGATGTTGTAGACCGTGGCCAAGGATACCTTGATCTGGATCGCGATCACCTTCGGGTCGACTTGGGCGCGGAAGAGGTCAACCGCCTTTGCCTTTTCTTGGATATATAAAAACACAACAGATACCAGTTGGTAGGATTTTGTTTACTCTTTCGAATGGCGCCAAGCTCAAGATCATACAACAAATAACAATGGAGCTTGGGCCTTTAAAAGTCCATTATATTTTTGCTGTACCACTATATATATATATATCTGTGCAAATTGTTCTTTTTATTTTGATCTGTACAAGTAGTTTTATGCCGCTTTGAATTTTAAACTTCAGACCATAAAGTAGACTTTAATATTTTGCGCAATTCCCCCAATATTTATTGGACTCTTAATATCAAGTTGTCAATCTAACATAGTATAAAACAATGTTTTCAAAATTACATGGAGATAATTTGATTTTTTTAATTAATCAAATTTTTCTCTTTAGTATGGGCTTAATATCTTAGAATATGAAAAATATATTTAGATAAGGTAAAGTTTAAATATATAGAGAGACTTCTTAGATAGAAATATCCAACACTGCTCAATCAAAGCAATTACTTCAATCCATTATATGTATACTTTTCTTTACTTTTTGACAAATAGTTTTATTTTGAAGAGTTCATCTGGAGTGACATAATTTTAAAGTTATAAATTAATACTTTATTTGGCTTTATCAACCGTCAAAAGATAATGATGAAAGGATATTTTAATACTAATTGTAATTTTATTCTAAATATTTTTAGATTTGGTGTAAATTTGTATGATTTTAATTTTTATTATTCCTTTAAAATTGAAATTGTATCAATTGAAATAAGCAAGAAATATATTGTCTAAATAAGTATAAACATATATCAGCATTATCCGTTTATATCTCTTTTAAAGCGTCATCATATGACATATTTAAAGAGAATCATATATAAAAACAATAAATAAGACGTTAAAATGTTATAGCTCATAAAGTCATGACCATTTCCAAAAAACTTTATGATTATTATTATTAATCTCATATCCCTCTCATTTTACACCTTTCATTTGATTATGACGTTTAAAAAATAGTATTTCATCTATTAACCGAATTGCTTCTTGAAGATAAATTTAATCAGTTTCATGCTAAAAGAAACCTATTATTATTTTAAAATGATATATTATAGATAAACAGCTACATGTGTACGTTCTAAAATCAGTAAATATATTTTAGTTGACAGTAATGATTAGAAATTCCTTTCAAGAAAATAATATTAAATTGGTTAACTATGATCATCGTAGTATTTTTCATCTTTTTTAGATATAAACAATGCAAACATCGACTTACGTCCATCTTACTATTTTAGGATGATGAAGGCATATCATCACGATTTTATAAAATGCAGAAAGTTAAAGGGAGCTCGATAGCCCGTGCGTGTTAAGGGTGTTCAACTTTCAAGGTTGGGGGCGTAAGTTCGAATCCGAGAGGGGATGGTCATTTTTGGTCTACCTCATGATAAGATCCTAGGTTTGATAGAAAATTTAATGCATAATCTTATTTATATCCTATCGGATGCAATTCTATCGAACCTATGAGAAAAAAAAAGTTTAACTATATTGAGCTAAAAGTTAAACTTGAAGAATAACTAAGTGGGGTGGCGTCAGACTTCGGGCTCACCAATGCTGAGACACCTATGGTGCTTCACGTGGAATCAGAAGGCAAATAATAACTGATCTTGATACCGCAGAGTCCAGACTGTAAGTGTGTACTTGTATTATCAAAATAGATAGTCATAACAAAGTGGATAGTAAATCTGTAGATAAGTAGCCAGGGCATATCAAACCTGTCGATGACATAAATGGAGATGTCCTGACGTCATATGGTAAAAATATACAAGGGGGACAGTGTTGTCGAAGTTGTAATTGAATATTATTGATTTTTATCACAAACAAAACATATTTTGATAAAGGAGCTCTTGAAGATCGATATTTGGTATTAAATTAAAATTTCTATCATAAAATACTTAAAAAAAATATTGTTAAATACTGGGTTTTATATAGTAAAAATCGTTTCCTTTAAATAAAACCCGGACATTTCCAGTATTAAATAATTAAAAAATCAAGTTTTTAATACGTTTATCTCTCCTTCTTACAAAAAAAACACACCCTTAGCCTTAAACATCCTAAAGGAGATATATTTTTTATTAAAATTCTTTAGTAAACCAGTAAAACGGTTAGCTTAGCTTTTTATGTTAATTTGTACATTTATTTATTGATACTTACAATAACTTTCAAATTTAAAAAATTATTAAAACGTCATCGAAAGCGGCGCTATATATTTTTTATCTTATAAGTTGATAATACCCAGGTGTGTGCGACGGATTTAAATCGTTCTTTGCATGCTGCAGCCCATGCCTTTTTTGTATTTTGCTTAATATATGTAGCCATATGCACGTTCAGCCATTCTTTGTGGTCGGATGAGCCAATACTCTGTAAATTTGCGGCATTTGATATTTTTTTCATGCATTGCTTGTCTCATGCATATACAAATGAGAGGACAAAATGAGGTTTTTTATATGGCTTTATTTCAAAATCAAATTCATGATACTTTTCATAGCCTTTCATTTAGGTAACCTTTGAAGAAATCAGTAGCCAATACATATACACTCAGAGAGTGCAAACCTCCGCCGTCACGGGTCCTTATGAGCCTTCCGAGGCGGATTTTTCACGACTGGGGCGGCGTAGAGGGACGGGGGAGGGTTCCCCTCGACGGAAATTCCGAGAGGAAGACGCTTCCGGCACCCGATTTACAGTACAGCGACATTTATTGGCAGAGTAGGCTAACTTGAAATATTATTAGTATTTAGTCATTTTGCATCGTAATTCTGCACTCAGAGATGCCAAAATTTAATCATTGTACTTTTGGCATTCCAACAACTCCACAAAGTTTCATCCGAATCCGTTCGGTACTTTTTGAGTTCCTGCTGACAAAACCAAACCAAACAACGCCAGTGAAAACAATACCTCCTTCGGCGGAGGTAATAACCTTG